TTCAAGCCCAGCTAGTATCTTTAAAATCGTCATTCTGAACTCTAGTTCTGACATCTTACTAATGTCCATATTGATTAGGTCCCTGGCAGTCGGTATTGCCTCTTGTTCTTTTTTTTGAGGTGGTTTTTTTTCCGTCTTGTCATTTTGTCCAGAGGAGAATAGATGAATGAGACAACAAAATGCTAACAGGGTCACAATGACCCCCAAAAATATACACTAAACAAATCAGAAGAGACCTGAAACCAGGGGAAAAGAAAAAAAAAAGGAAAAGAAAAAGATAAGAAAAAAATCCCAAACAAACAAACAAACAAACAAAACAGAATATGATCAAATATGATCAGGCTGGTGCATAAATCAGTGCCACACACTAGATTTTGGTTGTATTTTGGTATGTTAGAAGAAAGTGCCTCCCAAAATTTTAAAGAAAGAAAAGCCTATAGATGTACAAAAATAAGGGTAAACACGAGGAAGGGATGGAATATGACTGTAAAGATGAAAATTATAAAAGAAATTAATAAGATAAGAAGTTTGAAAAAAGAAAGAAGGGATTTAAAAAAAAAAAAGGAGAGAATGTGATCAGGCAGGAGACTAGAACAAAGCCATACACTAGAGATTTAGGGTATATTTTGGTCTGTTAGAAGAAACTGTACCCCAAAATTTTAAAGAGAGAAAAATTTATATATATATATACCAAAAATAAGGTTAACTACTATGAAGGGATAGAATATGACTCTAAAAATGAAAAATAAAAAAGATTTTTTGAAAAAGGGATTGATAAGATGTTGGTTGAAAAAGAGAAAAAGAAATATTAAAAAAAAGAAAATTAAAAAAATTAACTTCGAAAGATTAAAGAATCATGGGGAAAAGCCATGAATTCTATGTGCAGTATTCCCCTAGTGCTGGAGTTCTGCCATTCTCATTGATTGGTAAACTTGGTCTTGGCTGGCTGTTCTGCTGATCTTCTGGGGGAGGGGCCTGTTGCTGTGGTTCCCAAATGTCTTGCCGGAGGCGGAATTGCCCTGCCCTTGCCGGATATGGGCTAAGGAATCTGCCCTGGTTTGCTCTCGGGAGCTTTTGTTCCCCGTAAGCTTTCCGTTCGGCTTTAGAGGATGAGAGTGAAAATGGCAGCCTCCCAAACTCCACACCGGAGGAGCTGAGAACTCTGGGCCCCGCTCCTAGTGCGCCCCCAGAGAAAAGCAGTCACTCCCGTCTCCCCAGTCTCCAGCCACACTCCGTGCTCACCCGGCCTGTGACCGAGCGTTTCTATCTCTGGCGCACGACCCCGTGTGGAGTCTCCAAACCCAGCAGATCCCTGCGGTGCGCTCCCACGCCGCTCCTCACCAGGGAGGAAGGGGAGTCTCCCCGGATCTGCCGCTTGTTGGGTCCCTGCTGGAGGAGCAGTGGCCCGACTGTGCTGCAGATCACAGTTTATGGCAACCCCGAGCTGAGAGCCTGCGCCTCGGCTCCGTCTCTGCAGCTGGCTTCCCTGCTCTGATACCTGGGAGCTCTGCTGCACTCAGGCTCCCCCGGTCTTTCTGTGACCCCGAGGGTCCTGAGACCACACTGTCCCCGCAAGGGTTCCACCCCCCGCTTAGCCACTGGAGCGACGTCCCTCAGCGGAGCCGACTTCTAAAAGTTCTGATTTTACGCTCCACTTGCCTATCACTTGCCGGTATCAGCTGACAGAGGCCGCCTCCCCCGCCGTCTATCCTCCCGAATATCGCCTCAGATTCACTTCTCCGCACGTCCTACCTTCCAGAAAGTGGTCGCTTTTCTGTTCAGAGAGTTGCTGCTATTCTTTTCTTCGATCTCCTGTTGAGTTCGTAGGTGTTCAGAATGGTTTGATCCCTATCTAGCTGAATTCCTGGGACCAGACGAAATTTAGGTCTCCTACTCTTTCGCCATCTTGCTCCTCCCACACTAGGCAGTGTTGATCTTAAAAGCAGCAGATTTGGTAATCATTTAGTCTGTTGCCATTGACTATGGAGTCAACTGAAGGAAGAAACCCAACTGTGCAATAAAACTGTCGTGAACACAGTAACGATGCTGCACACTTAAAACCCATGAGATGGAAGTCTGGGAATGATAAGACCCTGGGAGATAGAACCACATTTTAGTTTCTCTGTCTCTTTTAAGTCTGTATTAGCTATAAGTTATGTCTGTAATTTAAGTCTGTAGTTAATTACCCACTGAACATTTGGGGTAATATTTCAAAAGCATATGTCCTTTTTCTTTTTTGATAAATATAGTTACATTTTAAATAATAATTATTACATTTTTTAAAAATGTCTAACAGCAACTGAGTATTTACTGTGAGCCAGGCATTGTTCTAAGTGCTTGACAAAATATTTACCCAGTTAATCCCCCCAGTGATCCTAAGGTAGACACTTCCTACTTTCATTTGTTAAAAGAGGTATAGATAGATTAGATAACTTGTGCAGGTTCACACAGATTTTGAGGGACAGCATTTGAGCCCAGTCAAGGAAAAAAATCAAATTTGTTTCAAAATCAGGTTCTCTAAATGTTCTCTAAAGTCTAAATTAAAATAAGAAATAGAATATTATTTATAGTATATATTTAAACATTGCCAAATTTATCCCTTGTCTCTAATCCTATGACTAAGGCATTATTATCCAAGTTTTGTGGGTGAAGAAACTAAGATTTGTTACTGAAGTTCTTAACTACAGACATAGTAGTAGAAAGAATTACTTATTAATAAAAGTATTTCTATTGAATATAATATGTGTAAGTAAATCTCATCAGCCACTCTAAAATGAAAAAATGGTGGTTGAACATTCCATAAAATACAAATAAAAGAAAACTCAAACACCTGCATCTCCAAGATTTTACAACAAAAAAACTGTGTTGAAAATATTCTCCAGGTAGTAGAAAGAATTGGAACAATGACGTCAATGTGTATCACATTGGTCTTTTAGAGTTACACTGCAAAAGAATTTTGAGATTCCAAATAAGCCTCATGACACAGTTAACCCATACCACTGTCACATCCCTTATTACTATCTTTCCCTCTGAATATCCACACAATTCTAAAATCCTTGACCACGTGCTCTTAGTAAAATAATAATAATAATAATAATATCTTTAAAAACTACTTAAATTGATAGTTCGAGTTAAAGAGAGGTGTCTCTATCAGTTAACTCTATCATTGTTTAGTCCATCACCTGTACAGTGGTTCTGAAATTGTCCCTGACGGGCATACCTTTGAGTTTATTGTGCTCAGAGTCCGCTGGGAAGAGGGAATCTGGAAAGAGCTTGGGGAAGGTGAGTCCTGCATACTTGGGCCGATTCTCCACATAGTTTCTTACTGTAGGTTGCAATTTCTTCATGAATTCCGGACATGGTGTTCCTAGTTGCTCAATTACTTTGTTCCACTGGTCAATATCTGAGAATTGAATAGTTAAGGGCAAAAAAAAGTGCAGATCTACTAGGTCTTGCTTTCACTAGTTGGGAGACTAACTGCTTCTCCAAATCCCGAGCAATCACCAACATAACTGGAGTTTAATAAGCAAAAAAGGATGAAAATATAAAACCAGGATCATCAGGCAGTGAATCCTCTTGGAATTTTAAATTCACTTGTGGCATAAATGCACTTTTGGGGAATTAACATTACTTAACAAAACAGGATATCATGAAATAGTCCTTGAGGTGTAAAGATAAAAAGGTATTTAAATAACAGAAGAAGAATTTCTTATATTGAGATAAGCTTCTATATAACCATGTGATTTAAATGAGAAAAAATATGACACAAAATAATAGTTTTATCCTGAAATTACCTCAATCATTTATTTTCTAAAAATGACAAATACATTATAAGATTCATTTACAGTTTTAAAAATTCTTTTTAAGATTTTTTCTTCCTTTCTCTAGGAAACTTCAGGGATCTAACCATAGTATTACTCAATTGAGATCTGTAAAATCTTTACCCCTAGCTATTCAGTAGGGTTGGACTAAAAAGATCAGCAGTCCTGACAAAAGACAAAATTAACTATATTTAACAAAAATAAATATGTAATACAAAGTAGATAAAAGACTGAACAAGGATAACATCAAGCTAATTTGCAAATCTTCTTCTATCTCCCTTATAATCTTGCTGAATAAAATTTAAATTATTACATAGCCTCTTAGTTATTAGGTTAAAAAATATATGATTGTGTAATATTAAAAAATGAAGGGTGGGTGGGAAAAACTGAAGAATATTCCTTTACAAAACAGTAGGAAAATTAAACAAGAACATGTTTCAATAAAAGTTCATCTAAGTTACAATGTGCATGAGAATATAGTAGTAAGTCAGACTCATTAGAAATAAAGAAACTGAAAGATAACAAAACGTCAAAATTAAAGGTTATTCTTAGACAAAAACTTATGTTAGTACTATGGACATAGGTAAACTATAACTACTTAGAGATATTTACATAGAAAACACTAATTAAGGTTAAATAAATCTCCATGCTTACACTATAAATTATGAAAAGAGAGGTCTACTCTCTAATACAGTTAGGTTATCATGCCCTACCAAACCATCATTTAATCATTGGTCATCCTTCCTTCAAATTCTGAAGACCTGATGTCAGACTAAAAATTAGGGCAAAGAAGCTGTCAGATTTTCCATAAAGGAGTCATTTAGCAAAGTTGGAAAATACTCCCAATACACTATTATATTCTAGTTACATTTAGCTAGAGTTACAAAGTTATTCAGTAAAAAATTAATTGCTTGTAAAATAGCATTCCCAAGATAATTCCATGGTATTTTTACAATGAAGTTTAAGGAGAGTCAAATATTCTGGAAGTTGTTAAACAAGAACTGTCAAAATGTTTCTTTTTACAAATTATAATTAAAGTCTATAGAAGCATTCAGCGTGCTTCCAGAATGCTTTTTAGATGAAACACTACTGTGGTCCTAGATATAATGGTTTATGAAAAGAAGGAAAACAAGAATCTTTATTATTGTCAGTGTAGTAGTTGAATGTTCTAACTGCCAATATGTGGTATAGTCATCTTTAAAAGTGTGTGCCTTTATTTTAACCAATCCATTTCAAGTTCTTTGTTCCTATAAACACGAATAGTTATATTTAAGTAGAAAGTGCTTGTTTTCCAGATGTTCAGAGTATCTCAATATGAACAACTATATTCAATTATTCTTAGTTAACCACATGATTTTTCTTTATAATCATAATTAACCAAATATAAGCCACAATTAGAAGTCGTGTCTCCTGGCTTGAAGTCCAGTGCTTGTTCCAATGATTCCAGTAAGGAAAAGAGCAAGTTTGGAGTTGATGTGGTAGAAATTGCTTTCCTTTGGCCATAAAATTGATAGTATGCTTGTCATGCGCCCTAAAGAATGTCTCTGAAACTGTATTCCTAGTTTATCAGATCAACATATTCACACATAAAATAATAATTTTATTAATATTTTAAATAAATTAAGTGATTTATTTTACAATAAAGTGATATATTTTTAAAAAGAATTTTTGAATTATCAGATTTCCACAGTGATCATATTTTTAAAAAATACATCAAATATTCACTAGATTTTTATGATCATGTGTTGAAAACTTGGTATTTTTTCAAAGAATGGCTAAAATTATTTTTATAAAAGGATTTATTTGCTTTAAATGATGACTCATAAGCCATCACTTTTATGCTGTCTGAGTAAGGACCTGAATATTTACAGATTCCAGCCTGTGTGTTATCAAAAAAGTAATAAATATAAATATTTTATATTTTTGATCTACTATTTTAAAAATTATACTTAACATAATTATAAGGTATTTAATAAAAATAGAAAAGTGTCATCTAATAGGAATTATTTGACAATTTCCTCATCTAATTATAAATTCACTACATAAAAAATAGTCATATTACCAAAAGTTTGATTTTATAGAGTATGATGACAACATAATGTGCAAATAGTGACTATTTCTAACATCTTCAACAAATAATACTATAAGGGATGAATAAAACCAAGAAGTATGGATTGTAAAAATATGTATCTGAAATCCTAAGATTGAAAATTATTCCAGTTAATTTTATCAGTTAACTAAGAACTTACATTTCATGTATTCCTTCTACTTTAACTTTCTTGGTAAGGAAACTTTCTAAAACATATCACAAACTGCCTTGAACATAATGTACAAAAATTGCCTTATCCTTCTCTGGGTATTCTGGATCATAATTATGAACATAATTTATTCTATGCACATTTGAGCTTACAGAAGCTACTAAGTGGAATCATAAAGTTGTTTAATGACCTCATTCTACTATGTCCTTTGACATATCTTCTTTTTATGTTTTTTTCCCATCATTGGTTACTTTTTGTTATTATGAATATGTTTTCCAGAGTTGACACCTCCATGAATTCAGACTTGGTTTTACTCTGTCTCATAGTTAATATTTTAGGCAAAAAAAAAAAAAAAAATTCTCACATCTATTTGAAATTTAAAGAATATCAGTGTTTGTCTCCAAATTCTTAACAACATTTTTTAAAAAAGATAATATTGCCCAAGGGGCCTGTATAGAAAGTTCCAGGAGAGGCTATTTTATCTTGCAAGGCAACCAGCTGCCATGGTACTGCATTGTGCCATTTGTTAGGTGTCATGATATAAAATCGTGGCTCCCAAACTCCCAAACTTGAATATTTATAACATAGAGAACTTACTAAAATACAGATCCCTCCCCTCTCCCTGTTAATCTATAAGATTCTGAATCCATAAGTCTATCATGATATTAAAAAATATCAATTGTAATTGCAATCCAGATGGCCCCTGGACTATATTTTGAGAAATACTAACATAGAATATACTAAAAGTTTCTTGTGAGTTACTAAGTCCAGATTTAAGAAAATAGTATTAACATATTTCAGTTCTATGACACAAATTAGAATAGGGTCAATTTCATCAAAAGATTAATCCACACCTACTTGCTATAGAAAACTTAGGGGTCGTTCACCTGAAAATACTTCAGTGAAAAAAAAATCTTGATATTTATCCTTCTTTCTCATGTCACTTTCCTAAAAAATGATGGGAAATTACAGTAAATGACACACAGTCTCCCAGCAAAGGGAGAGAAGTTCTGCCCATCACTATCTAGGGAAGGATGAAAATTATATGTTGCCATTACCTGCGGGGTGCTACTTATAAAAAAACAAAAGCTATTCAATATAATGTTCAAAATACTTGATAGTTTATTTCAGTAATTACTCCATATTTCTCTATGTAAAATTTGCTCTCCAAAAGAACTCTTACTTCTGAGGACAATTTTAAAGATGATGATAGAAATATATATAGTACAGAGTTCTGGATCCAGATTTCTATAGTTATGTCTTTAGCTGTTTTGTTACTTTAAAATTCTTTTTTACTCTTTTTATTTGAGAAAAATGTTAATTTTCTCTCAAAAGTCCCCCTCAAACTCTGGTAACATGAAATATGAATAAGTGACTTAATGCATAATAGTAACTAACATTTATTTTCATTATAAATGAGCACAGGAAGAAGAAATATTATGAGCCAAAACACATTAAAAAACTCAAAGCTGACAATTTGAGTAAAGGCTATTTGGTCACTGGTAGCAGATGTGAATGGAATACTATGGGACATAGAATATCCAAAGGCTGATATTTGAAGCATGATGTGTACAGATCTCAGTACAATCCATTTTGTCTTATAAATCTATTTATTACTGTAATCTATATTTCCTTACAAAGCAAAAAATGGAGAGACATTTCACATATAAGCAAATCCAGTATATATAAATATGTTGTCACAACAGTAGAATTTTTATTAAGCTATTGAAGGTTTATCTTTGGGGCCCCTCATTCTCACAAAACCCTTAAAAGACTCTGTATCTAATTTGATATTTGTAATATAAATAAATTATTGTTTTTATAAAACACCTTCCTCAAGCTGTATGATAATCTGGCCTCATAAATGCTAGATGTGACTCTACCTGCATTTTGAAACTGGGAAGAGGCCTTGGAGATAATTAATTTGACATCTGTATTTTATAGCTGAAAAATATCAAAGTCCTTTTAAACTTGGTAAATACAATGACTTTAAACAAAAGAGGTAATAGAAACAACAAACACTAACAGAAATATAAAATTCTATTTAAGGGGAGTTTTGGAAAACTGTAGTCTGTTCTTTGAGACCCTTTGATTAAATCCATTTCTGGGCATAACACTATATTAAAGGGAGATTAAGAAGGGACAATCAGATTTATATGAGATGAAGAAAACATGCCATATGAGGCATACTTGACAAAACTTTTTATGTTTAAATTAAAAAAAAAACAAACAGAGACAATCTCTGCCCCCATCCTAGCACTTCAACCCTCTTTTTTTTCTTAATTTTTTAAATAACATATAATGTATTATTTGCTTCAGGGGTA